CTATGACTAGACTGGACATTTCCTATGTGGTCTAGCTTGTCAATTAGTTTGTATCTGCTCCACGCCAGCCCCATTTCTCTGTTGTTCTCTGAATCATCTGTTATGTCAAGGGCACCCTATATGATGGCTTTTTTTTCTCATCTTCATCCTCTACTCAGCTTTGAGCTTATGCAGATGTAGATTGGACAGGTTGTCCTGACACTCGTCATTCCACTACTGTCTGGTGTATATTTCTTAGTCATTTTGATTTATTGGAAATACAAGAAACAACAAACTGTTTCCAAGTCATCTACAAAAGTAGAGTATAGAGCAATGTCCTCAATATGCAGTGAAATAGTCTAGCTCAAAGCTCTACTTCATGACTTGGACATTAATCACTCAACTGCCATCCCCCTGTTTGTTGACAACAAGAGTGCAATCAAGATTGTATCCAGCCTAGTATTTCATGAGCGCACTAAACATATTGATGTGGATTTCTACTTCATTCGTGATCTTCTCCTTATCGGTCATATCTCTCTCCCACATGTCTCATCGAGCTTACAGCTTGCAGACCTCTTCACCAAAGCTATGACCAAAGCCCCACATAATTTTCTTATAGACAACCTGATGCTTATCCCCAACATCAGTTTAAGGGGGAGTGTAGAGAAGATGGAGGGTGGTAGTTATGTAATTTTATCTTTCTTTCTTGTATTTTAGTAGGCATGTACATTAGTGTACAACTTATTTAATTCTTTTGTAAGGACAAATTTGTCCATTCATATTTCTTTAATATAAATACTCTCTTTTTGGGTTGGTTCAATCAGATTGATTAATCCTAACAAATATGGACTATTGTTCTTCCTCTTGTCTCTTCACTTTCTCACAAACTAACATATAGTACTTGATTGATAAGTTGTTAGCCATTTTAAGGGCACCTCTTGATGAACGGATAGGTCTTTGTATGTACCTTGCATCTTCATCAATTGCTGCCACATTGATAAGTTCCATTACATGCATTTCTTCATCATCTGAAGATGGGTTCATGTGAGCCATACCCAATTATAATACTCAGTATCAAACAATTTCAGCTATGATAAACCCAGATAATGTCAAATGAGAGAAAAAACTTGATGCATAACATTCAATGAAAATTATAAAAGCATCAATATCATTTAACATTAACGGGTAAAAGTTCTATAGTAGGTGGAATTGCTATAGAAGTTCTATTAATCCTTCCTAATATAGTTCAAAAGTGATAGTAGTTCCATGAATTCAAGTCATATAAAGTTAAGATATCTCCACAAAGGGTTTCAATCAACCAATCCTTCATATCAAATTTAGGCAATGCCATAAAAGCTTTCTCCAAGTCTCATCAGTGAACAACTTGGTTACCCTAATAATATCATGCAAGTTGATCCCTTCTACTTCCTTTAAAGCCTCAATGCAATTGGTCATTGAGTGTTTATCAGGATTCCTAATCTGTTCATGTTCTAACATTGCCTTAGTCCTTGCATGGATTGTAATTGCCATTTCCCTAATGACACTAGATATCTCAGCATTGTGCCTCTTTCTCAACTCACATTGGCTTTGGTTTTGTTTGACATGCTCGTCTCTATTCATACCCTCACATGAATATGATATTACCCCAACTTGAGTTGGACTGGGTCCACTGGTGTATCAAGTGCAAAGAGGTTTATGTCAAGATCCTCATTATTAGTGCTTAGCACACCCCTTTTAGTAGACGTAATGCTAAACCTTGGGCAGTGGTGTCACCAAATATGATGCATAAACTATCATACTCGAGACACTTTGCCTTGCGGAACCTTTTTGTTTTAGGATTAGCCAATTGAAGAAAAAAAACCAAGTTACTAATAGTAGCATAAAAGAGCTAAAAGAATAAAGAGGTTTTAAGAAAAGGGAGCACATTGATATAGTATTTATCAACTGCTGCCACATATACAAGTTCCATTGCATGCATTTCTTCTTCATCTTCCCATAAGTCATCAAATTCATTATCTGAAGCTGAGTAGATGTGAGCCATACCCTATTATGGTACTCAATATCAAACAATTTCAGTTATGGTACACCCAAGTAATGTCAAATGATATAAACAAACTTGATGTGTAGCATCCAGTGCAATTTAATGGAAATTATAAAAACATCAATACCATTTAACATGAATTCTATGATAGGTGGAAATGTTATAGAAGTTCATTAATTCAAGTCATTTAAAGCAAAAAAAAAGAAAAAAGAAATAGTTCATCTATAAAACCTTCCTAATATAGTTCATAAGTGATTGAAGTTACATGACTTCAAGTCATATAAAGTTCAAATATCTCCACAAAGCATTCCAATCAACCAATCCTTCCTATCAAATTCAGGCAATGCCATAAAAGACTCCCTCCAATTCTCATAAGTGAATAGCTTGGTTGCCCTAATAACATCATACATGTTGATCCCTTCTACTTCCTTTAGAGTCTTAATGTAGTTGGTCATTGAGTGTCCAGCATGACTCCTAATCTGTTCACGTTCTAACATTGCCTTAGTCCTTGCATGGCTTGCAACTACCATTCCCTTGATGGCATTAGATACCTCAGCATTACACCTCTTTCTCAACTCACATTGATTTTGGTTTCCTTTGACATGCTCATCTCTATCCATATCTTCACCAAAATCTGATATTACCCCAACTTGAGTTGGACTAGGCTCCACTAGTGTATCAAGTGTAGAGGGTTTATTAAGAGCCTCTTCATCATCAGTGCTCACCACACCCCTTTTGGCAAATGATGATGCTACAGCTTGGGCAGTGGTGTCACCAAAGATAATGCATAAACTATTATACTTGGGACACTCTACCTTGTGGAACCTTTTTGCTTCAGGATTGGTCTATTGAAAAAAAAACCTTATTTCTAATAGTAATATAAAAGAGTTGGAAGAATAAAGAGCTTTTAGGAAAAATAAGCACCTCGATACAATCTTCCATACATCATTTGCAATTGTCATTGTCTGAAGTTTGCTATCCCACCCTACCCAGGTTGGGATATCCCTAAGTTTTTAAACATACAATATCATGTCCTTAGGCCTTTGAACTTATTTCTAAATTATTTGAGGTCATATTTTAACCTTGTTTGGAGATAATACTCCAAAGAGATTGATTTCCATGCAATTATAGTAAAGGTAGTGGTATTTCTATCTCCCTTCTTCACATGGTCTATCATAATATCAACATAAATATTCTTTAGCTCAATAGTCCAATTGACTTGACTAGTAGGTGCCTCATCAATATCAAAGTTTTAAAAGGCTAAAGGCGTAATGGCCAAAAAGGTGAGGCATAAGACTCAAGGCAATAATCCTCAAAAATAAAAAAAAAAATTAATTAAAGTTTATAAATGATAAAAAAACATATAATATATCAATTTAGAATGATAGAAGGTACACATCCATAAGGATTCTCTCTGTAGCTTCAAAGTGAGCTGTCTTAGGATTGTGCATGAACTGATTAAGGACACCCACTGCATAAGCAATATCAGGCCTGGTCATAGACAAATACAAGAGTCTCCCTACGAGTCTCTGGAACTTCTTCACATCTTTCAAAAACTCTCATTGACTATCTCCTAGATGATGATTAGATTCAATTGGTGAGTCAATTGATTTTACCCCCAACTTGCCTGTATCTTCTAGTAGATCTAGTACATATTTTCGTTGGGAAATAAAGATGCCCTTATGAGAACGAACAACTTCAATTTCAAGGAAATAACGTAAGGGGCCTAGATCTTTCACCTCAAATTAAATGGCTTTTGCTTTCTAGACTTTGGCAAAAGCAGCCACTACCAAGCAAACAAATCAAATTTTGTTGCTTTCGGACTTTCGAAAGCCGAAAATCCAAATGCAAAAGCTTATCCAAACACCAGTTAATGCTTCAATTCCTATACCCTTAATTCGACGAAAAGTCAGAGATATGATAGATTCACATTGCTTTTTCCAAGTAACTCAACATGAACTACAAAGATTTGAATAGATTCACATTGCTTTTTCCAAGTAACTCAACATGAACTACAAAGATTTGATGAAGTCCAGTACTAGCTTATCATCGCCATTGTCCCATAAAAAAAGGGATTTTCAGTGCAAGCGAAGCATGCTTGTGCCTTCATCAATCCAAAAATCAAAGTTTTGTCAAAGAAATCATTCCATTTCACAACAAAGCAATGAAATTAAAGATAATTCCATATTATAATATACCTTGAAATCCCTAATCTAAAGAAAAATAACGAAAGAGGGAGAGAAGTACCAATCAACACCGCTCAGAATTTTCTAGGCCCAAAGTATGGGGGAATGCATTTTGACCATGAATTGATGCCAAATTGACGGCAGGATGTGGTTTATAGGGGGAGAGGGCTACTTGTAGGGGGATGGAATTCAGAATTCGTTTCCGTACTTTTCCGATTTTCAATTGCTCAAAGCAAAGTACGGGAAAAACGAACCCCAATAACCCAATTTGGCGCCCTTCAGTTGAAACTCACTCGCTATCCGTTGATCTTCAACAACAGACAACGTATGTGATTAGAACGATCAACGATGGAGTAATAAAATGCCATCGCGAGGGTATATTCGTAATTCTAAAATATTTTAATCCGGAAGCGTGAAAGGCTGAAACCAGAGTCCAGAGACAGAGGGTCTCGATTCCATCATACTGCAAAGCTTCTGAAAAAAGCAAGCAAAGGTTGAAGTCATTGATTTTAGATATTTGTTGGGTCTAGACTGATTATTCCATCTGTCATCTATGTTCATAAACCAATTTAACGGCTCTGATGAGTAAAGGACTTCAATGGTCAACGCCAACGAAATGTAACGATGCGGTCGGGATAACATCATAACACTACTACTTCTACTTGTCTAGCGTTCTCTCTAACAGTCTAGCTGGGCCGAGGGGCTGTCCTTTGAGAGAGTCGAGTGTGTGTAGATTCCTGACACGTGCCCCTTAACTCCTACAAACGGATGCAAACCTATTTATATTCCCCTCTTTATTCTTCGTCTCTCGTCCGCGCCTCCTCTTCTTCTTCTGCTTCTTTCGAGTGCCACTTGAGAACCGAACCCTAGTCGCAGACCTGCAATTATCACTCTCTACGCCTCTTTCGTCCCAATCTTTTTTGAATTGCTTATCCGATTCTTTCTTCCGATGATTTTTTATCGTCTTTCTCGCTGAAAAGTCCACTTTCAGGAGAGCTATTTTTTATTATTTATTTAATTAGCAAATATGTCTTCCACGACGAGCCAAGTTTACATCCAGGTCATAGAAGACGTCATCGACAAGGTTCGGAACGATTTTATCAATGGAGGCCCTGGTGAGGGTGTTCTCAATGAGCTTCAAGCGGTAATTCCTAAAATTCTTTGTTTTGTTATGTTATCTAATAAGGGTTTTCCTTGAAGCCATTAGTTTCAGTTTCTTTTCCTCCTCTGAAAATTTAGATATCTTACTTGAATTCCTTGAATTATAGGCTTTTATGGTCCTACTATCTCGAGGGTTTTGATTGTTTTCTTCCGGACTGTATGAATTTATCGGACTTTTTTTTTATGTTATAATTCCTTCTTTCCAGTTTTTTTAGAATCTTTTTTATCACGAGTTTTTCTAAACTTTTTTGGTTTTTTTATTCCAGCTCTGGGAAATGAAAATGATGCAATTTGGTGCTATATGTGGTCCTATAGAGAGGTCATCTCTACCTAAGGCGGCTACCGGTGGTGCCATAACTCCAGTTCATGATCTTAATATGCCCTACGAAGGGACTGAGGAGTACGAAACTCCTACAGCCGATATGCTCTTTCCACCTGTGAGTTTCTCTCCTATATATGCCGATTTTGAAGAAATTTCGTGGTTTAACAATTTTGTTGGGTTTTCCAATGCAGACTCCTTTACAGACTCCCATTCAAACTCCTTTACCTGGAACTGTAGATAACACTGTGTATAACCTTCCTGGACCAAATGACTATCCTACTCCACATGATACTGGCAGTGCCACTGACGTCAAAGTTGGAAGACCTAGTCCTTACATGGTAAGTCTCATTATAATGTTTCCTTTTTCAGCTTGTAGGGTCCTACTTAGCTCTTTTTTTTTCGGCATTACATATTATACATTCCAAAGGGGATTAAGGGGTGGGGACAGAGCAGGGTGCACGGGAGGTCCGCTGACCTTACCATGGAGAGCTTGCAGTTATGTAGGTTTGATCCCACACCTCCATATTGGGAGGGATGTTGATTGCTGAATGACCATCTTAGCTACTGGGTCATCGGCTAGGGTTCTATTTTAGCCCAATGATGGCTTGCAGATGACCCAAGAAAATGGGAACGAAGATGAACTAAAGAGTCGGCTAAATAGAACCCATTTCTTGAACTTTTCAATTATGGCTTATTATGCATCTAATTATCCTTATTGTAGATTGGCTCTGTTATACGTATGATGGCTTCTGGTTCATTTCATTGTAAAATAAATAACATCTCTTTACTCTTGTTGATGCAGCAACCACCTTCTCCCTGGATGAATCAAAGAACTCTTGGCGTGGATGTTAATGTTGGTAAGTATAATAGTGCCCCTTTGCTCACTACCTTCATCGACTCTATTAATTAATATTGTTTCTATATTGCAGCTTATGTTGAAGGGCGGGATGAAGTGGAAAGAGGAAATTCACACCAGCCAATGACACAGGTATCCCTGTTCTTCTTTGTGGAACATGTTCGCGTTCCTTCTATTGTGAACCTTCCCTAGTTTTCCCTGGTTGATGAACTAGTAGCATATATCTGAAACTGATGAAGTGATACCACTAAACTTAATTACTAGTCCTGACTTTGGGGTCAAATCCAGGACTTCTTTATATCTTCAGGAAAGCGGAAACGCGAGGATTTTGCTCCACATTTTCACACTGGTCCATACATACCACAACAAGATGGAGCTGGAGATGTGAAGATGGAGGGTTCTCAAGCAGAAGTACTGTTTCATCCCATAGATTAAATTAGTTTGCTGCTATGGTTTTAACTGATTGCTAGTATCTTTTCTGACTATCTTATTACTTGCAAATCACAGTACTGGTCTATTATTTACATTAAGCATTGTGGGCTGAGCTTGCCTTTTCTAATAGGAAATACCTATCATTGTTTGATTGATTGGCATGCTTACCCCTGTCTGCGTGAAAGTGATGGTAGTTAAGAGGTGGAAATTTAATAATATAATTTGAAGAAGCTATAAGTTATTGCATTTTATGATGCACTTCAATGACTTGATAAGAATGATTTTAGAAGGTTGTGGAAACAAGCTGCTAAATGAATGATAAAGAAATCACATTATAATCTTAAGGTTTCTTTTACCCGTAAAATCCTAGGGTGTTTTGAGACCCCTTAGGCCATTGCTTTTTTGGAGAGAACAAAGCACATGGCCTTTTCATTCCCCTGTTGTGTTTACTCTTTTCCTGGAATGTTTGTTAATTCTTGAGAAAATTATTGCATGGCTAATTAGGTAAAGTTTAATGTCTCTATTCCCTTGGTGATTATTTTATATATCTATGAAACTCTTGAGTGTTTTTCTCCATTTCCTAGATGACACTGGATATATTAGAAAACTTGTGCACCAATGAAGTTGAATCTTTGTTTTAATACCTCCATGCAATTTGCAAGGGGTGTTAGATGGATATATGTAATACGCATTTAACATTTGAGGAAAATAACCTTATGTAGACCCCTTCCTTTATTGTGTAGTTAGGTTATTCTGTGCTACATTCTTTTTTTTGTTAAACTATTGATACTTAAAAAATTGAGTTATTTATTTTAATAATAAACAAGTAAAAAACATTACAAAAATAAAAAGAGAAGGTCATGGAAATTTCTTGAACTTAACATTAAATTTTTACCAAATTGAATGATCATTACTGATTTAATTTTTAGAAAGGTTATGTTATTTTGTAAGAATGGCCTAATAATAGTTGAACCTCAATTATGATATTGTTATAAGAATGGCCTATTAGGGTGTTGCACATTTGTTGGCACCTTATAACATAGATGTTGTAAGGTGTATTTTACTCTATATATTTTGATGTAGGGGTATTCTTGTCCTTTTACCTATTTTTATATTCTCTTTAATATAATAGGGTTTTGTGGGCATTGCCATTTACCCAAGACAAATTCTTCTTCATCTCTCTTTCTCTGGTTCTCTTCTTTCTTCTTTTCCTCCGTTTCTCTTACTAGATCTTCTCTGATAGGTTTCATGGTATTAGAGTTGTTTGACGAAGTGGTCTAGTGTTTGATCCCCATTGCCTCTATTATAATTAATTAAATTTCAGTACAAGGTATGGGTGGGCCTGTGCTTGTCCACGCTTCAAGCTCGGTGGGCTTTCATGTGAAGGAGTGTGTTAGAGAGAGTAAAAACCTATTCAAGGATCTCACCTAACAGCTTAAGCTTTTAGGTTGAACAGTTCCCTAACTTGTTAGAGAAAGTGCATACTTGACTTACTCAAGGATACTAAAAAGATGGGATGTAAACTAGCCAAGGATCAAAATTTTGATACAATACGCCCCGTATCGGGCATATCGTATCGTATCTTTTGGGTTCCGAAACACCTATTTTATAGGTGTTTTGGGAATCCTTTCTTTTTTAATAAAAAATACATAAAAAACTATATAAAAACCAATTTTTGAAAGTCCATGGTTTTTAGTACCGATACACCTCTGGCGATATACAGAGGTGTATTGATACTTTGAACCTTGAAACTAGCAAACACTCCTATCGACTTAAATTTTAAACTTTGAAACTATGAGAGGGAGACATTATTAGGCGTTCAGCAATATCAGAGAACTATTGGGAAGCTTCTATACATTTATATAACTCAGCCACATTTGCAATTGGTGTCTTGAGAGCCAGCATATGCTTATGCACTCGCCAAAGTCGTCTCATCTCAAGGCTGCAAAATGAGTTCTTTCCTACTTGAAGAGACATCCTGGTAGGGGCCTTCTCTTCACCAAACAAAGCCATGCTCCGGTGGAGGGTTTTATTGATGCTGATTGGGTAGACTATTGATAATGGGAAGTCCACCACCAGTTGTTGTACCTTTGTAGGGGGCAGCTTGGTTACTTGGAAGAGTAATAAGCAAATTGTGGTAGCAAAGTCAAGTGCAGCAGTAGAGTATATTGCCATGTCTCAAGGAGTAGCTAAAATTTTAAGAACCTTCTTACAAAGTTGGGATTTTGGAATTTTGAACTTATGTATTTGTAGTTTTGTACCATGACAACAAGGTTGCCATCAGTATCGCTCATAACCTGGTTCTCCATGAGAGGACTAAACATATTGAAGTTGGCAAACACTTTTTTTGTTAAAGGGTTGAAAGGGGTGAAATATGTGTACCTTTCGTTGGCTTAAAAGAGCAAGTGGCTGATGCTTTTACAAAGAGTGTGTCTACCATGTGCCATGAAGAGTTATGTAACAAGTTGGGTATACCGGTATGCATGATGTATACAGCCCAACTTGAGGGGGAGTGTTATGAAGTGTATTTTATTCTATGTATTTTGGTGCAGGGGTATTCTTGTCATTTTACCTTTTTTATATTCTCTTTTATATAATAGGTTGTTGTGGGCGTTACCACTTACCCAAACAGATTCTTCTCAAATCTCTAACTTTCTCTGGTTCTCTTCTCTTCTTCTCCTCTATTTATCTTACTAGATCTTCTTTGACAGATTAGAATGGAGAAACAAAAAACAGTCAGTGATTGTTAGGATGCCTCATCCCTACTATATGGGGCCGGATACATGAATCCTGTTTTGCCATTACATTCTGTTTAGCGCCATATCCTTTTTTACCACTTCAACCCATGTCCTTTGTTTCTTTACCCACCCCGTCCAAAAGGAGGTTGTTAGGATGAATGCTGAACTAAATATAGAGAAATGGCTAATGTGACATGCTAATTTCTCTAGTTGTAGTAGGGGTGATTATTTCTAGCCCAGCCTTGCTTAACCCACAATTTTCCAGGCTTGGGCCTAGGTTTTGTGTCCAGGCCTAGGCTTCCATTAGGCCTGAAAATATGCAGCCAGGTGTTAGGAACTGCCTAACTCAGGGACTCTTCGAGGGAGCCTGCCTCTAGAATGAGAGAGAGAGAGAGAGAGAGAGAGAGAGGTTGTATTCCCAATTCAATAATCCCATTTGATTATAGCCTGTTGTTATTTATACACTGCTGTTATATAGCTGTTATAGTTCTGTTGTACCAGYCTCTCCACTTGTCAGTCCACTTGTCTAGTTTGTTACAATCTTTGATCTAGTGGTTGGTTGTTAGTTACAATCTTTAAAGGCTGTCGTGGCCTTTTCTTGTACACTTGTATTTCTTTAGTTTGTGTCCCAACAGTCCCTCCCCCCTTAAATTCGACCTTGCCCTCAAGGTCAAGATGTGGGAATCTGTTCTATAACTCCAAGTAAGGTTCCCAAGTTGCATCCTCAATTGGGAGGCTTGACCATACCACCAAGGCTTTTGGTTCGATGTGATTCCCTTTGCGTATCCACCTGGAATTTGTTATCTGAGTGGGCTCAGTTTGAACTTGGCCCTCTTCCGAGAATGATGGGAAGGTGGTTGTTGTTATTGCTCCTGTTTTTGGCCGTTTCTTTAATAGGGATACATGGAATACAGGGTGTAATTTTGATGTTGCTGGGAGGTCCAGCCTGTATGCCACTGATCCGATGCGCTCCACAATCTGAAATGGGCCAAAGTACCTCGGGCTCAGTTTGTTCCATTGGTGGCCTGCTACTGAAACTTGCTTGTATGGTTGTAATTTAAGGAAGACTTGCTCCCCGACTTGGTACTGGGCAGGCCTATGTCTTTTGTTGTAGGAGTCCGCCATCCATTGTTGGGCTYGCTGGAGGTGGGATTTGAGATCTTGTAACACCCTATCTCGTTGGAGGAGTTGGTCTTCTACTGCAGCTACTGCCGTAGACCCCTTCTCATAGGGAAGTAGGGGAGGTGGGCCCCGACCATATAGAGCCCGGAAGGGGGTCATTCCGGTTGCACTGTGATATGTGGTATTTTACCACCATTCTGCCCAATGAAGCCACTTGAGCCACTGGCGGGGCCTTTCCCCTGCATAGCACCTTAGGTAGGTTTCCAAACTCCGATTGACCACTTCAGTCTGTCCATCTGTTTGAGGGTGGTAGCTGGTAGATTTTAAGAGTTGCACTCCTTGTAGTCGAAAAAGTTCTGCCCAAAATTGACTCATAAAGATAGGGTTGCGGTCGGAGACAATAGAGTTGGGGGTACCATGTAGTCGTGCCACCTCCTTCGTAAAAATTTCAGCAACCATGGAGGCTGTGAAGGGGTGGGGCAGAGGGAGAAAATGGCCGTATTTGGTGAATCTATCAATTGCTACGAGAATGGCGGACTTGCCATAGGAAAGGGGAAGTTCCGTTATAAAGTCCATGGATATATCTGCCCATACTTGTGTCGGGATTGGGAGTGGTTGTAGAAGTCCCGCTGGAGACTGGGTATCCGCCTTATTTTTCTGGCAAATGACGCATTCGGCTATGAATTTTTGGACCTAATTTCTCATGCCTTTCCAATGGAATTGGGTGGCTAGTCTCTTGTAAGTGCGTAAGATCCCTGAGTGCCCTCCTGCTGGGGATGAGTGGAACAATTCCAGGAGCTGCTGAATATGGGCTGAATCCTGTGGTATCACCATTCGGCGTTTATATAGTAGCAAGTTGTTTTCCACTGTGTACCCTGGGTGGCTAGTAGGATCTTCTTGGATCTCTGCGCGCAGCTTGCACAGATGTGGGTGCCTTCCAGCTTCCTCCCTTAGCTGTCCCATGATGGAATATGTAGGGCCCGTGAGAAGTAATGGGAACAGTTGTGGCTGGCGTGACAATGCATCTGCCACCTTGTTAGCATGCCCGGCCTTGTATTTAATGACATAATCATAGCCAAGTAATTTGGCTATCCATCGCTGCTGTTCCGGGGAGAGTAC